ATTTTTTACTCTTTTTTTAATATAAGAGCTATAAATTTCCTAATAGTAGCTCTCTATTATTTTCTCTACTACCTAGTATTCATTCTGCTGTATAAATGGAATAATAGGGAATTTAGGGCTAGTAATTTCCATCTAAGCACTACTTTAACTGAATCTGACAAGTATTGATATATGTACCTTTTTTATTATTATTTAGTTCTAAATACATCCTAACTTCCATTATGATCTCTTCTTTGATACATGAGTTAATTCGAAGAGTTTCTTCAATTTACAACTGTGCAAGTCTCTTATTATCTGTTTCTAATAACTGCATTGTGATCAGAAGTAATCTGTATGATAACCATTACTGACATTTGCTCTGTGGCCTACTGTAAGAAAATTTTTTGTAAATGTTCACCATGGTTTTAATCATTTTTGGCAATTCTGGAGATTAGGAAGGCAAACAATCTTGTGCTTTTTCTTGGAAGGATCTTGCTTTGACTCCGCTGCTTCTTGACAGAGAATGCTTTGAAGTGATCCATGCTAATCTGTCCTTTCTTCCTATGATAGTGGCCCCCACTAGAAGCAATGTCTGTCAACTGGATGTTCTAGATAAATTAGTTAAGGGAGAGAACCAAAATGGTCAAAGGAAAGGCGAGAGACTGTGGGAGTGTCTTATAAGGAGGGCCTGTCACGTTTCCACACTGATGGGCAGCATAGTAAAACCCACCAAGGAAGCTATAACAGGCACATGAACAGACTCAAGAGCAGCCAGCTCCTAGGGGCTCTGGATGCCAGGATTTTTAGTGATCATCCTTAAATCAACTAAATCCAATATGTCTCAAGGAACTTCTTTCAAGGAGAGGAACAGGAATTCATAAGATCGAACTAAAGGCTTAGTCATGGAGCATACAACTATATTCCCGGATGTGCTTCCCCAGCACAGAGAAGCAGGTTGGCACTGTGGGATGCCTCCCACCATGTAAACCTAACCACATGCCTCAATGTCCTCCACCCCAAATCTTGAAATGTGTTATGTAAGCAGCAGATCCTTGGCAAGGTGGACTTACATTATGAACATTGGGCGTACTGAGACTCCTCCGAATATGCCGAGCTTTGGTGGAAAGTGCTTCTTTGACTGTGACAGCCTGTAAATGTATAATAATTTGAAGATAACATTTATTATTTTATCATCTGATTATAAAAGAATCATATGTTTACTTGCAGAAGATTTAGAAAATGCAGAAGTAAATACCACTTCAATCCTATACACACACACATATTTTATTCACAAAGCTGAAATCTTACTGTACATACTTTTTTCCCCTTGACAGTCTATCAAAAACATTTTTTCATAAGTAAAACCAGAAAAACTGCTGAACAAGACATTTTTGTTGTGAATTTTTTATATACAGGCGCGCAGAGAAAACACAGAAGAGGTACCTCTATCTATACATCTCACTTGCAAAATGACAATAAAGTTGTATGCTGTTCGTGTTTTACTCATGCAGCAACTAAGGTGGAATTTCCACTAAGAGAAGATTTTTCTGAAAGGCGCCAATCTTATTCCTCCTGTTTCTCAACACACGCTTTCCATGACGTCAACTACTGCTTTTCTGGAATAATATCTCCTGTCTTACGGTTCCACTACTTAGTGGATTATTTTCATTTAACATCCAGCTGTCACCTCAAAAGTAAAGTCAGCTCTAAAAATCAGGAAGACAGTAATAGTACGTGGTTAAGTACATGGACTTCGGAGTCGAGCTATTTGGGTGTACGTCTGACTTTGCACCACTGTCTAGTTGTGTAACCTTGGGCGAGATAGCTGACTTCTCTCAACTTCCATTTTCTCATTTGAAAATGGG